TAATGATTAATAAAAATTAGCTAAAAACTCTAAAGACTAAAACAAGTACGTACACAACACGAGGGAATAACTGATAAGTAATCCGACCCTTCTGGTTAAGTAAACAATAGGAAATGACAACTAAGGAATKACAGAGGAAAAATTACCCAATCAGSTGAGTCSAAATTATTCATTTTAATTTGATCAAAATATACCTAAATAAAGTCAAATATAAAAGCTTGATACATGTACATGTATGTAGCAAACATAAGACTTATAGCATTTTAACATTCCTAGCTACTAAGTCAGTGAGCCTTGTTAGGTACCTCAAAGGAATATAATTTTCTTTAGATATAATTGTGTGTTAATAGCAAAGGCAACTTGCTTTCAATTACTCCATGCTAATAATTATATATTGAATCATGTGCCAAAACTCTCATAGCCAATCACAACACAAGAAAGTTTCCAAATATGGTTGATACAATAAAGTTACATTCCTAAATTACTTTRATATCAAATCACTCAGTCAGTCAGATTCAGTCAGTCAGTCAGATTCCCTTGGAATTCCTAGGAACCATAATCCAACTGTAAATGAATGCTTCTTATTTYGCAAGGGTAAACTGGTCCATCCTTTTTAAGATTGAATTACAATAATCTTTGTTTACTATATCTATTTCGCGAATAATATGAAGGAGCCTTCAAATTATACTCTCTCTTATGTCCTATAATTCTAGATCTCTATATGTTTTTATTAAATCTCTTATGCCTGATATAATTGTTTATGTCATTTGAGTTCTATAGATTATTATAAATATAAATCCCACTCCCATTCAATGTTCTGCTTCCCATTCTGCATTTGAATGTTCTGCTTTCCAGTGCATCCAATTTCACTTCCCAGCCAAAAATCAGGCAAATCCCAGTCCCTTTTTGGATCACGTCCGTCAAAATTATGTAATGAGACTTGCTATCGGCCACGGGACATCCACTAAACCTCCTAGGCTTCGTGGACATTGAATGAATAATATCCCTCAGAGTCATGGATTACTTATAACAACGCGACCTTTCATCAGAGATGATGTTGGAACCACTTTTGTGGATAAATCGTAGATTTATAAGCTTAAAATAAAGCATATTACGTCATACATCGACGAACACTATACGCTCAAGACTGTAAAACACAAATAAATACAACGACAATACAGTCAGCTCTACGTTAAATAACCTACCCATAGTTTCTGGATTCTCCATATTGTCCTTGAACCTTTCTAAAAACGATATAAATGAATAGTAAGCACGAATCCAATGCAATCAGTCTCTTCTTCTGCAATCTTGCTTCTTCTACAGTAAAATGCCGCTGACCGCTCTATTTT